AAAAAAAAAAAAAAAAAAAAAAAAAAGAAAGAAATAAAAAAAAAAAAAAATTCTTAGAAAACCATGAAATGAGAACGTTTCAAAGTTTCAAATGCTTAAAATAAATGAAGCTTTGAAAAAAAAATTTTGGTATGAAAATTGGAAAAAAAAAAAAAAAAAAAGGGTCCAAACTGATTGAGATTATATAAAGAGAAACAATCCTAGGCTTATTAGGTTACATTCTGTTATGGAGTTGTCTCCCTATTCTCTTTGTGCAGTTCACATTGTGAGATGGGTATTCAGTTTCAATGAACGGGCAGTTTAGATTCTTTTCTTGTTTCTTTTTTTTAAAACTGCCACTTACATTCTAGAGGATTTCAGATCTCACTCCCACCCCCACCCCCCTTTGTTTTCTATTTCCCATCCCCTCCCCCTATTTAAATCTATTGTGTTGCAAGAAACTGATGGTAGGTATTATGTCATCTGACACTTAGATGGTGCTGTGTCATATTACACTAACATCAACCTGATTTTTTTTGGGGGGGGGGGGGGGAGAGAGACTTTTAAAAATTTTTCCTTTTGTTTATATAAACTTTTTTTTTTTTTTGGGGGGGGGGGGGGGAGACAGACTATTAAAAGTATTTCCATCTGTTTAAATTAACATTTTTTTTTTTTTTAAGCCTAAAACTAAAATTTTGCGGACATCACCGGAGTTCACTCAAGTTACCTGCACACCTATGATGTCTTTATTTCTCCCTGCTAAACTAATTAAACATTGAAGCTTGTTTTGATTATTGAATATCCATTTCACCCCTGTGTGTGTATGATGTCAGGTGTTGAAAGGCTGACCTAAGTCCTGACACCTGGCTGATGTTTACAACTGCATTATCTCCTCTTGCCTTTATATTTTATTTTGTTATTATGTTCCTTGAACTACTGAGGTTTTTCAACTGTGTTTAAATCTTTATATTATGAAAAGACTTTTTTTTCCCCCCACACCATCCTTTTTTTCCCCACATTGTTTTTTTATGTCAATTACATAAAATTTATTTAAAGTCATGAAAAATGGACAGTTTATAATCTGTTAGATGGGTATCATAGGTTATTCCAGTTTATCCCATGAGAGGTGAAAAATCATTAGATGTCACACAAATGTAAAGTTGAATTATTTTTTTTTTTATTTTTACATTTAATTGACATGAATAAAAAAAACACTGCAATATTACATAAATTGCGTTAATTGTATTTTTATTTTTATATTTTTTCTGTTCTCATTCTTGATTTGGATGAAATAATAATTTCCCCCTAATCTATTGATAAATCCATAATTTGCTAATTATTTGTTAATTTAAAAAAAAAAAAAATTGTTTGTTTAATTAAGGAGCATTATGTCAGCTGCCTTACCATTTCAAAAATAATAATACAGGTAGATAAATAATATAAGATAAGAACATTAAAGTAAGTGCTGTCCTCCCAAATTGTTGAAATTTAAAAAAAAATTTTTTTACTCAACACTTGACTTAATTTTTAAAATTTCAAATGACAAAGTTAAAATAAGTTAGCAATAAGAGGCTGAAGGTTAGGGGTTAAGGAGCTTTGTATTTAATGGTATACAGCTTAATTGAGAGGGTTTGGGGTGGGGGGCACAACTTCAATCATAAACAGAAAAGATTTGCTTGTTGTGATGGAGGGTTTTCCTAATTGGTAGAATGTCCACATTTTGTTATGGTGGTAAAAAAAACTTTTAAAAAATGTTTTCATAAGAAATTGAAATGTATGGTGTTGGCTGATGCAGAGAGGTAATGTAAGCTAATAGAGATTATCCGCTTCATTATGTTTGCTGATGATGAAAGATCTGAAGGTCACATTACTGAACTGATAGATAAATAAATATATACCACTGATACTTTGCATCAATTTAGGATCAAATGAGTTTTGAAAACCTGTCTCACTGCTGGCGAGCTCAAACTGAACACTTATAATAAGAAATGTATTAAAACTTGAAATTTTTAGCCACTCACTTTAACTCACTGTTGAAGCCTACATTCGGCTGTATAAATTGTATTGCTCATCAACTCATGCTTTTGTATGGTTTACTTTCGTTTGTGGAAAAAAAGCAAGAATCCATAATAGCGTTAATTTCTCATAACTATTTTTTTTTATTTGATACATGATTTTTACACTTATGAATGGATCAAAGCAATGTTGACTGGTCAGATTTATTCATAACATATATTTATGAATGGGCTATAATGATTGCATTAAAGAAGAAAAATCCATTATTAAATTGTGTTTCTTCTTATTGGATGTATATGTTGTTTGTATTGTTTACTGAATATTTAAACTATAAATCCAGCTCATTAATAATCATTAAACAAAACTGATATTTGAGTTGCTTTAGTTTGAGAGCAATGTTCCCTTTGAGCTGCGCGGCTATCTCACAGACGCCGCGCAGCAGTTTTGAGTACCGCGCAGCATATTTCCATGTGAGTGAGTGTTTGTGTTTGTGGCTGTAAAATTTTGCACACAAAAAAATTGATGCTATAAAACTTAGAACACAACTGTATAATTTTGCACACGAACCAACAAACCTTAGAGGGAACATTGTTTGAGAGTATGCAGCAAAGTTCCCAAATGTTTTTTTTTCAGTGTGTGTGTGTGGGGGGGGGGAGGGGGGTATATGTGTTAAATTGTGCCCACTTAAAGATGCATCTGATGGCCCAGTGCCTATGCTCGGAAAATGTATGTTGTTCACACAAAGTCTTATCATTCTAGTTCCGGCGGTGGAAATTATAATAGCGTAATATAATAATAATATGTTTGGTAAAATTTTAATTAGTATCGTGGAAAGAGATTTACCATACGGTATATATTTGTAAAATTTTGCAAGCTCAAAGACACGAAGCTTTACATTAGTTTTAAATAAGCCGATTGGCTCACACATCGCTTAGCAACATAGAATCTCTCTTCACAAGATTTTTTTGCTTCAATGTAATCTTTTTTCCTCGCATAACAACAGTCGATCAGATATGTCCAATGGTCTAACAACGCCCCCCACCCCCCTTTTTTTTTTCAACCCATGTCGTCACCCTTCTATGTGTAAAAACCCAACAGCCAGTTGTTTATTTTCATACACTTCCTCTTGTTTGCACCAAGCTGTTTTATAATTAACAATATTTGAAGGATTCAATGAATGAAATGTATTTTATAATTATAATCTTTTCGTGATAATCTTACATTAATTAAAATTAAAGTTGTAATTAATATTTATAAATCGGAAAGTGGACCAAGGGAAATAATCAAACTTTAGTTTCAAGCTCCCCCACCCCCCTTTGCGCGACAAGTAACTTTGTTAATGGGACAGCTGCCAAAACCAAAACAATGTGGTTAAATATGAGACTCAAAGACAATATCAATACAAGAAAACAGTGAAATGATTTAAGAAAAAATAGTTTGTTGTTTCTGTTATTGTAAAAGATTGGAACTATTATTGCGTTACAGGCGACGAGCCATTTTCATAAGTCATTTCTTCTGAGAAATATTTTGAGAACTTAAGAGCCGCGGGCAGGGACGAATTGTTTACAAATGTCAAGTGGATTAGTAAAATGGCGTCTTTAAAAAGATCCGCATCTATTCCAATAGTGCCGCAGTTGGCCGACCACTGCCTTATTATAGACTTTTAGACATTCGTACTTAGGCTTTCGAGCAAATGAAACGTCAGGATTTTTATTTTTATTTTGTACCCTTTACCCTCTATACGTTTATTATCTTTCAATTCATGTGGGTCAAATCATGTCAATATGCAGCTTGTGTGAGGGAAGCCCCATGAACAAAAACGAACACTTCATGATTTAAACCCATCGCTTGTCTGGGTGCACGAGTCCAGCCGCAGTTCAGTGTCGACGCTAAATTATGATCGGTTGATGGCTCAGATCCTAGTTACGACCTGGGTACCCACAGTTCTGCATTTATGTAGTTCTAGCTAATGCAGGCTCAAATCTGAAACGTGCGTGAAATAGAACAATAAGAACGTCAAGTGATTTCATATGCTGGTTTAGCCTTAGCTTAATTAATCCCTTCTATATGCTTCAAAATGCCTATCGATTCCATGAATATTGTAAAATGTAGAAATCAACAATTAATTATTATAATATTTTTTTTTAAGTAGGCCTGTGTAGTGTAAGAATTTAAGCCTTGTCAGGGACAGCGATAAAGCTCGAGGGGATTTTTATTGCCTGTAATCTACAATATCTTACAAATTCCTTATCAAACCCTCCTCTTAATCATTTAGGTTAAGCCTGTTCTTTCATAAGTTATTGGTAATGTATTTTTTATAATCATAAATTATGATTATGGTAAATTATATGGCCTACAGTTTTTGTATGTTCATTTCTAAATTATCTTAGTCATATATTTGTTTTTCATTTCCATTTTATTTTTCAAATTGTTTTTTAAAAATATATTGCTGAAATCGGTAAACATTCGACAAATTCACCTTATTATGTTTTCAATAAATCGATAATGCTTCACACCTGTTTGTACAAACAAGACTGAAAATCTAAATTCGCATGCATTGAATGAAGCATTGCATGACGAGTCCTGGAAAGTACCGTTGCCATAATTAGAAATTTCCCATGATTCCAGTGAGGTTAAACCACGTGATCTCATTAAGATGGCAAGATGAAATCTAAATATAGTAATAAAATGTTGTATTTGTCATGCGCAGAAAGGATGGGAAATCCCCGCGGAAAGATAGCTTTTCTCGTTATTGGCCAGTTCTTATCACGTGATTCGGGACTTTCCCATGGAGTTGGTGATTTCCAGAATTTGTGTATCGACATTAACTAGAATTTAAACTTAAGATTTCTTGATCATTGTTTTGGTTCTATCATAGTATTTTTATGGATTTCAAATCACCATAAACGTTTGTTGCTATCAAACGTTCAAGGTAGTTTTATTATTACAAAACATTTTCCAAAATGGTGGACTCCATAGCGACCTACTTTTGAGTTACTCAACCCTTCCACCTCAACAACATGGACGAAAAAGAGCAGGCTGACCGTATGGCGGCTGCAGAAGCCCTGTACATGATTTCAACTCGCGTTGACAAAAGTGGGCCTGTAACAAAATTATCTAAAAGGGGCAGGAAAAAGAAATTGTTTGAATCGGATGAAGTTATTCCTGTCAAACGAAAAGACGAAGACTTTGGGGTTGGCGTTGGACGTAGGGGCCGCGGTAGAAGGGGTGGTGGACAGCGAGGTGCTAGCGCTAGTAGGAGAGGTCGAGGAGGGAAAAATAATAGCCCTAGAGGCAGGGGTGCAGGACGAGGTAGAAAAACATTGTTTGAAGAAGACTTTATTGACGAGTCGTCAGATATAAGTGCGAATAAATATGATAATTTGTCATACTTCCATAAATCACAAACTGCATCACAGGAGTTTGAGTTTGATGATGCCACTGAGCAAAATCATAAGAAGAAAACAAATAAAACCAAAACTGCCAAAGCACGAGACCAAAGAATATCATCACAGTCCCCACAAAATGCATCTAAATCCCCTTCAGGGTCTGGGTTACATTCCACGCAAGATCAACCAGCCCATCATGCTATTGGTTTTACTGGAGCAACAATTTCAATTACAGAATATCCAACAAGACGAGCATCAGTTGAACCATCCCATAATCTTGGCTCTGTCACAGGCATTAAACAGGTAATTCAAACTTTTATTTGAAACATTAATTTAAGAAAATGTTCTTACACTTTAATGTTACATTATTGCACTTACAGTTATTATTGTCTGTAGTCTAAGTCAGCAAATGCAAATCTTTTCATTATAATGTAGTCTTACCAAATGCAAACTCAAATACCTTAAAAAAGAATTACCAGGTACTTAAAATTTTTTTAATGAAGGTTCAATAATAATTTTATTCCATTTTGTTAATTAGATTGCAGTTTTCTTAGTACTACAGTATCTTTAAATGGCAATTTACTAACACAATTCTTAAAATGTTTCATTGATAGATATTAAATCATAATTTAATTTATTTTGAATCTTTTCTTACAGTATACCTTGTCATCAAGAAACACATCTACAGCAATGTCACTCTCTAGTCTCCCGTCCATTAACCTTCCGTCTTTCACTACCGATGGTATCGCTAACCTGCCTTCTATTCCTCTTGAGATTGCATCATTGCATCTCTCTTCTCAACCAACGCCCAATCTGTCATCTCTGGGAGACATCACAGGTGAAGGTGTCATGGAAGATGAGGAAATTAACAGTGATAGGTATATCATAGTTTTGCATTACCTTATTTCCTTAGTGTAATACCCAAGTTTGCACAGAAATTCAATATGATGTTTCATTTAAAATTATTGGAGATCAAGATTTTTTACAAATGTTTAAGACAATGGCTATTTTCAAAATATTTATGTTAAGTATACATGAAATTTATGACTCAAGTCATAGCATTAGACTTAATTTTAATTCAGTTAGAATTTTGCACATCAGGTTTGTATAAAAAAAAATGTTTTCTTTCTTTTTATTTTTTAAAATGGTTTTTATTATAAAGAGAAAAATCAGAAAAGTTTCTGCCATTGAAAAAAAGAAAGCTGCTGAATCCAACTCCAGTGACAGCTACAGAGAACCTACCAAGTACAACAAGGGACATGTCGCCTCCATCAGATGACGATGGTATGCAATTTTTCTTTTATACTAAAGGCACTCCAACCAAGCGGGGGGGGGGGGGGGGGGAATAAAGAAGTTAAATATGGCCCTCATTAAAAATTAAGCCTTACATTTTTTTAATAAATGTCCTTTGTATCAAATGAATTGAGATCTGTTTGGTAAATTTTTGAGCTCATTTTGTAAAAGTTCAAGTAAAGTTGCAATTATATCTTTTTATTTCACATTCGTAGGAGGCACAAGTTGATTATAAAAGAAATGTGATGTTTTAGTAACCAAAACAGGTTTTTTTAAAATTACAAATTAGCTTATTTCCATTATAATAATATAAAAATAAACAAAATAAATTACAATTATTTTATTTAATTACAGAAGGTAATTTCAGTACAGAAGGCATGTGCCTTAACATTTCTGTAATAGTAATGTCATCCTAAATGAAATATGTAGTTTAAAGCTGAAAATGTCTCTCCCTCTCAGATTTTTCAGAATCTATTTCTGAAATATGACTGTGCTAACAGAGAATAGAAAATATATGCAGATAACTAAAAAGAGACATGACATTCGGAATTTCACCACCTATCCTCTGATCTATATCCTCCGCTTTATAAAACTCACCAACATGTACCATCGTCTCCACCTTCATAAAAATTATTGATATTCTTTATGTCTCTCTTTATGCATTAACAGACAGTTATGAGCCTATGTCTCCACCTCCTCGTGCCACCTTTACAGTACAGGCTCCGCCCATCATCACAATGCAGACATTAATGGAGATCAAAACAGCCCTCACTGCTGACGATGATGGTGATCTGTAAGTTGCTATAAAGGTCTCAAAGTGGTTAATTGTAACAAATATTCTTAAAAATGTTATCATATACTTATATTTTTGTGGTAATTTACAGAAAATCAGTCCCCAATCAGGAGATTCTGATACCTGTGATTTTTTAGCACTAATCAGAAAATGCAATCATTTTAATACCCTCAAAAAAATATAGTCAGTTATTTACGTTGAAAATATTTTTTTTCTCTTTTTAATTTGGAATTTCTCTTAGGCTTTTTGATAATGTCAACTGCATTCAGGATCAGATTAAAAATGTTAAGAATTTTTTCCATTGATTCACATAATCTGTTAAAAGAAACATAATTTCACCATACTTGATGCAATGACTGTTTATCTCCTTGCCACTGCGCACCATGTTGTTCTGTTGATTTATTAAATGCACTTTTGTTAATCTCAGACCCCTGCACATAGCTGTGGTCCATGAGAACATGAGGATGGTCATCAAACTAATCAACTTGATGAGGATAGCTGGAAAGGGTGTTGACAAATTTAACAAACAACAACAGGTATGTGACCACGGTAGTTGCCATTTAAAAAAAAATATTTTGTATGCTCAAACTGAAACAAAATCTGGAATCTGAATCAACGTAAAATATTCAGCTTTCTCTATATTGACTGTAAGCTAAACAGGAAAAGGCAAAATTTAAAAAAAAATTGCTTAATTTTTTTTTCCCAACATGAGACTACCAGCTGAAGAAAAAAAAAGTTGTAAAGCTATTACCAGTAATGAATAATTTAATAGCTTTCATTTTAAGTTGAATGTCTTATTTTAATTATTTAAAAATGGTTAACTGGAATTCCAGAAACAGCAAAGTGTAAGCCTATCTGAACTTTATTATTTGACCTCTGGTGTGTCCATCATCTAGAAAAATCTAAGAACGGCTTGGTTAAAAATTTTTTTAAAAGTTAGCAGAATGTCCACAGTTTGCTGCTGTTTCTCTCTTAAGCCGAATTTTTTGTCTATTTCCCCAATGTATATAGTGCTATTCTTCTTTCACTCATTTAAGTTGAGAACAAATGGATACCAATATATCTATTTCTGTGATGATCTCTTTCAGACACCATTACATCTGGCGGTGAAATTGGATTTTCTGCCTGCTGTGGATATACTCATCAAATCGGGAGCCAGCATCAATGCAGTGGATTGCACTGGATCATCCTCCATCCACATGGCGGTTCAAGGACGGTCGACCAAGTGCCTGCAGATGTTACTGGAACGGTGCCAAGAGGCAGAGCTGAACACCAGGAACTTTGATGGTGAGGGTTCTTTTGACCAGCTGGTCAGAGTCTTGGAAACAGTCGCTTGCGTCCATCTTGTTTTCCTATAGCCAGCCATCTGTGCGGGTGTGGGTGGTTTTCTTCTTTTAATGAGTATTTGTTGTTTGCTGACGTGAATTAAAAATTGATAAGTTTCGGTTGCTGTATTTTTTAAAGTACTTGTTGTTTGCTGATGTGAATTAAAAATTGATAAGTTTCGGTTGCTGTATTTTTTAAAGTATTTGTTGTTTGCAGGCTGTGCAGACGTGCATTATGAAAAAATTGATACTTTTCAGTTGCTGTTTTTGTCTACAGCCCTGTTTACACTTGGTTTGCCTTGTTTACCCTCAGGTCTGACCCCACTGCACACAGCTGTTGATAATGGAGATTTGGAGCAAGTGGAACTGCTGTTGAAATATGGGGCAGAGATTGATGTTACAGTGAGTGTCTACCTTTGGGGACTGGTTTCGAAATGATGTAGGGACGTTCAATTTTTTGGTGTGATCTGAACCTTCCCGGCTGGATCCATTTTTTTTTTTCGCCAGCCCCCTCCCAATCCGTTTTCTACTTTTAGCAGTTCAGCCAACAATAGGCATAGATCAGTGGTTCTTAACCTTTCTAATTCCGCGACCCTTTAATACCTTTTCTCATGCTGTGGCGACCCCCAACGAAAATAATACTTAATAACTGTGGAGTATATATGTAGTCAGATGGTCTTAGTCGACCCCTGTGAAAGGGTCGTGCGATCCCCCAAAGGGGTCGCGACCCACAGGTTGAGAACCGCTGGCATAGATGGTGTCAGTGTCTTGTCTCAGTGTCATTGCCAGACACCATTTTTTAATGTCTGGCATAGAAGAATTGCTCATGAAATTCTCTGGTCATTTCATCTAAGGTTGATATTGTCTGGTAATTGAATGATTACATTGTCTGGTAATTGAATGATTACATTGTCTGGTAATTGAATGATGACATTGTCTGGTAATTGAATGATGACATTGTCTGGTAACTGAATGATGACATTTCCTGGTAATTGAATGATGACATGTTAAATGTTAAGTTCTATTAGTGGTGGATCCAGATTGGGTCACATCCTCCCCCCCCCCCNCCCCCAACTGTTCATTATTCATTTGAAAATTTAACAGAAATTATTATGAAAAGAAGACACTATCATGTGTTTATCGTAAGTCCCCCTTATTATTATGGCGCTCCTTCTCCCCCACCTTGCCTCTCGTTCAGCTTTTTTATGTGTCTCCGTCACCACTGCCCACCATCAATTCTTAAAAGCTTGTAACATAATTTCACACAATGTGTTTATCTCAGGATGGTAAGAGTGGCAGGACGTGCTTGTTTCATGCTGCCGAGAGCAACGAGAAGCCAATGGTAGAACTATTGTTGAGGCACGGTGCCAACCCCGACGTCCCGAACTACGCCGGGGTGACAACGGCCATGGCCGCTCAGGGTCGCAACCTGCATGGAGTCCTCAAACTCCTGGGAGCGGACAGGTTCACGGATGCAGATACTAAACCTTTTGTGACACCTACTAGGGTAGGTTTATATGTCCAGGAAAATGTGCTTCATCCTTTTCCACGCATGGTTAATGTCTGCACACATGTAGAAATAAATGTCTTGTAACATCAATTCTATAGCGTGATAGGAACAATAATTCTGTGTTGTTATAGGAACATCAATTCTGCAGTGTGATAGGAACATCAATCTGTAATGTGATAGGAACATCAATTCTGTAAGTCTGATAGGAATATCAATTCTATAGTGTGATAGGAACATCAATTCTGTAGGGTCATAGGAACATCAATTCTGTAGTGTCATAGGAACATCAATTCTGTAGTTTGATAGGAACATCAATTCTATAATGCGATACCCTGAAAGCTGAATGCTAAAATTATGCAACACACCATGTTAGCCAAGTATCAGTTCAGATCAGATGATTTATGTTTTAAGAGCCACATAACCTAACAGTGAATCGATACTTTGCGTTTGAAGAATTTGAGACCAACTGTTTTCATCACCATGCACCCATTCCTCTCATCATGTTGTAATTAGCCCATCTTCCCTGCCCATTACTTTCTGGATCTACCACTACTGGGCTGTACAGAATTAAAACTTCTTCAGTAAATTCCGTAACTTATGTGCTTTCAAACTTTCCCTAGGAAACTGCTGTATACATAGGCTTTCCAACATCTAACCAACAGGGGGAGGCTACCATAACAAAAGCAATCACCCAGAATAAACAGAGTGGCCGGGAAGTGACCCACTTGATAGAAGCTAAAAATGGCACGGAAAAGGGGGAAACCCCCAACGAAACCAAAGTCTTTCACAATGTTTTTGTGGTCTCACAGGTAGGGCCAGACAACTCTTGTACTCCTTCTTTTTTTAAAATGTAAATCTAAGAATAGGCAACCCCACTGCTCTGTACTTGTGTAGTTCTGTATGTTTTGTCTCATCTTTTCTCCTCCTAGAATTCCTTGGTCTACCTTTCTACCTTTCCCTTGCCTTGTTGCAGACTTTACATATACTGGTATTCTTATGGGCTGGAGTGATTTTAAATTAATTTTTTTAATGTCATAAAAATGGACTATTTTGTATAATTCAAAAATACAACAGCATGAGAAAGGCCTCATGTAATACAAGTTATATGCTGGAAGTATTGGAGTAGCTTTCATTATTGGGTTCAGGGTTTTCTTAAAATTGTCCTTTAAGTTGTGATAAATAGATAAAGGTGTGCTTGGTTGAGCTTTCTATTAATGCACTTAGGTTCATTAAAGGCATCTTTTTTTTCTGCAATCCCACTAGATTTATGTGTACTTCAGACCTGTTTACTCTTACGATTTTGGCGTACAATGTACGATTTTGAGATGTCTTTTACGATTGTACGCCGAGACCCGCCAAAACTACGATTTTCAGAGAGCCGGTGAAAAAAAAAAATTTTCCGATTAAAATTCGTTTGTTGAAGTTTTAGCCTTTTCCAATAAAAATCTGGCAGTGAATGAAACGAGAATAACGATTGGTTGTAATTTTTTTTAAAGTTGGGGCCATCCTTCATTATATTATGTGCGCACTGAAAGGGGAGGTGGGGGTTGTTAATGAAGGAGAGCTGCGGCATACGGGACACATGGGTGGGGGGTTGGTCGGAGTGTCAAAGGTTATAAAAATATCACCGCAAAGTAT